AGTGTTTTTAAGTTTTTTTCTTTTCGACATTCGCAAATTCATGTTAAGTTTTGGCGTAGTTCACTTTAGGAAGTGGTTATTTTTTTTTGTAAATTAAGCTTAGTGAGGCTTAGATTAATAAAAATCTAAAATTAAGTATTTTATGCAATTTTCAAAAGAAACCTGTCTGAAAAATTCACAATTCTATTTCACAAACCTATAACTATAATAACTCAGACTGTTTGTTAACCTTTGCACTTTGCACAGCAAAGCCTAGGTAAATTCTAAATAGAGTTAGAAGGACGTTTTGCAAAATAAGATGCGCAAACATCTATGTTGCTAGTTTTATGCCCGTTTTCACTATCAATAAAATAAATCCCTAATTTTTAAGTGACCCCCACCTATGAAAATTAAATTTCTGTTATGTGTTACCATAGGGAAACTGGGAAATTTAGGGATTGATGGTGAAAAAGGACATTAATTACTTACTTAGTACTTTTTGTAAGAGACTGAATATGAAATCTAGTACCTCCATCCTCAATTTTAATTCGAGTGACATCTGCTCTTTTGCAGTGTATCAAGGCTTTAAGATGCTCAGATGGACTGGGACATCAAATTATCGGTATCGTGTGAAATATTCTTCAAGGTGTTATTGTATTTTCGTAATTCGATAGGTTTGCACAATTTCCCAAATAGAGACGAACGGCCATCACGGATGACCATTGTAATTTGCGTAGTTTATTTTAACTAGAAGGTTCTGCATTTAATTCCTAGATGAACAGTCAAAGTTCATTATACTTTCATTTGTTTTCCTGTAAAATGTTGTTAAGTTCACACGTCATAAAAGTGATATGTCAACAGACTATTTATTTACAAGCTTTTCCTCAAAACGAATTGGCACAGTGGCGATACGTAGAGTAGAATGAAGTTTTTCTAGATGAAATGAAAGTATTACGAGGGAAATCGAACCATAACTTCAAACTCCTACAATGTTCTTCTGATTAATTTCGTTGCGGGTCCAATGACAGTTTAACTTTCCCCCGGGACAAACTAGACCTTCACTGGTGGTTTTTTTCTTAGCGGTTAAGCTGTAGATCCTGGCTACACAGGAGTTGAGATAGGTACTCAGTCTTGAGACTCTAACCAGCGAACTTGTTTAAATCTCTCACCTATCGAATGTACAGAATGGTTTATTTACAGGTAGTAATAATACAATGGTAGTATGACACCCCGTGGGGGCATCACAAAAACCAACAAAGAGGACGAAGTTTAGCAACCCTGCTTACGTGACGTTGTCAACGTTCCCCGTCCCACGGCAATCGTTTCATACTCTCTAATCTGTGAATCGTTTCGTATTTACGTGCAGGGAAACACGTTTGCCAGATGCTAGCGAGCACACAAATGAACGTCATTGTCTCTCCATTTCAAGCAGTTACGCGATCCCGGTTTTTCCCAGTGTAGAATGGAGTTAGTTTAAGGAATCAACAAGGTTAACTCGAACTGTTGTGATAAAGCCAATCCCAAGCCAACAGAGGTATTTTTTCATTAGTAATATTTACCTGAAAACGGTATTATTTGTAATAAGTGTAGAACTAGGAAAGGTACATACTACAAGTTCACCTATTGGCGCCATTTTTGAGTAATATGACTTATTTGTGCGCCATTTTGTGTTGTGGCGCCAACTAGTGATTATAAAAACTTTTTAATTTAATTTAAGACACCCGTATGGGCTTACTCCATCCACCTCGATTGTGGCCTGTTCTCTTCCGCAAACACGAACATTCTTGTAGAGAATGTTTGCGGTGAAAGTAAACATCCTTGGGATGCCCACGCTTTTGACGGTAGTGCTCAGGGTCTTTGTTATTGATGATGGATGCAAATTACTATGAAATAACTTTGGCAAAATATAAAAAACAATGGCAGAAAGTATATCCTGTCTGTTTTTGGTAATATGGCGTAAATTTCTGCCTCTGAATTACAGATTACAGCAAAATTTGTAAAATGACTCCTAAGTAGGAGTATATCAGTTTGAAAAGTTAGTAATAAGATCCCGTTGGGTAAGTTACTTACATCATTCTCAAAATAACACAGCATTTCATAAACCTACTCGTACCTATCATATTGATTAATGTACCTACCTACTTAGTTGATGGTGAAACTAAATAAAAAACCGGCCAAGTGCGAGTCGGGCTCGCGCACAAAGGGTTCCGTAGCAGCAAATATAATAAACTTATTATGTCAATTTAATCAACCTATCTCAAAAACTATAAGAGATACTTTGATCAAACCAAAAATCGTTGAAAGAGTTAATTAGCATGCATCACCTCTATTTTTTTTAGAATTTTATACCCCGTAGTTATAAAAATAGAGGGGGGGGGACATACTTTTTACGACTTTGAGAGCTGATATCTCAAAAACCGTTCACTTTAAGAAAAATGTTTTTTAGAAAACTTTATATCATTTTAAAAGACCTTTCCATTGATACCCCACACGGGTATGTACATCGAAAAAAAATTTTCATCCCTCAGTTACATGTATGGGGGGCCCCACCCCCAATTCTTTTTTTTACTATTTAGTGTCATAATTTTGTAGCGGTTCATACAACACATATTCCCATCAAATTTCATCACTGTAGTACTTATAGTTTCCGAGTAAATCGGCTGTGACAGACGGACAGACGGACAGACGGACAGACGGACAGACGGACAGACGGACAGACGGACCGACGGACATGACGAAACTATAAGGGTTCCGTTTTTGCCATTTTGGCTACGGAACCCTAAAAAGACAGAAACATGAAAGAGAAGACAGGAAATTAAATACAATGGAGACTGGCACAATTTAGGCAGTCTTATCGCTAGAAAACAGCAATCTCTTCCATTCAACTAAGTAGGTAACTCAGAGCACAGGCACAGATATGTTTTATCTTTCAGAGATAGCGACAGGCGTGTTCTCAATACTCAATTATTTATTGCATTTCACAGTGTACCTACATTAGTTCTTTAAATATATAATTGGATTCTCTAGTTACTTCTAGGTAGCTTGATACTTACAACTAGGACAGTCACCGAATTAACTAGGTACTTCACGTAGGATGTAGGCAACTGCATTGCTTGCATAACAAGCTGGGTTCATTGAAATGCAGCTACCGTCAGTATCATATTGGGATCTTAACGTCTCTGACGCGCTTCCTTGTAAACAGAATAAGTAACTAAGTAAGTAGTTAACTAAGTGACGTATACCTGTACCTAATTTAATTTAATAGCATGAGTGGCAAAAAAACAAAACAATGTTAACACCATTGTTGTGTTCCGGCAGTTAGAGGTAGGATAGCCAGTTCCTCCGTGGTTGAGGATTCCGGGTGAAGCTCGCTTTCACCTTCAGCCTGATCATCACTTACCATCAGGTGAGATACAGGCCAAGAGCTTCCTAGTTGTAAATAAAAAAAAAACAACTCAATAAAGATATTTTTTTGCAAAAACGACCTCAATAAAGATATTCGGAAGTTTAAGAGTAGACCTACACTGGATATCGATTCCTATTCACTCAGGTAGGTAAGTACCTATTCGTCTTCTTTTCATTATATTCTGCCTGAGAGTTAGAATTTGGGAATCGAACCCAAGTACCTCGATTCGAACTCAAATCTTAAGTCCTATAAGTAAGCCTTCCCGCAGACTTTTTGTTACATAGCCGATAGTTTAGTCGGGCAGTTAATTATTATGAACATGTATGGAAGTGATTGTGAGTGTCAGCCGATTCGTCATACAATTTGGAATTTGACCCAACTTATCAACCGAAAAATCTGCAGACTGCGTGGTGTGTAAAACCACTGGCAATATGACGTATGTTATGAGCAATAATTAACTTTTAAAAAAAAAATAAAACCGACTTCAAATGCGTGAATACAAAAAAAACTAAAAATTAAAAATATTGCGTATAAAAAAGTTCATACCCAATTTTCCACCCTTGGGGGTGAAATATTTTCTTCAAATTCGCATGAAACCACCCTTTTGATAATACCTATTCAACAAAAAAATAATAATCGTTCAAATTGATTTATAATCGGCGGAGATATTGCGTATAAAAAAGTTCATCCCCAATTTTCCACCCTTGGGGGTTGTTTTATCTATTATTAAATTTAAATATACGCCGAAAAAAGATTTGTTCAAATCGGTTCATAATTGGCGGAGTTATCGCGTAACAAACATAGAAAAAAAACATACGGGTCGAATTGAGAACCTCCTCCTTTTTTGAAGTCGGTTGAAAAGAGGAATGTAATAAAATCCATGCATAGTGTATAAATATTTATTGTAGACTTTCATTCTCATAATATCTGCGGTTGGTCCCTAACCACTAACAAATAAAATAAATTAAACAAAAACAAAACATAGACGCTCGCAAACATGAATACATAGTAATTATGTAACAACTATACATAGGTAATATTTAGCACTTATATTAATCGTTGATACAGAATCACGCCACAAATTTTCAAAATGGCGCAGTAAACTGCTAACGATATGCCAAGGACCAGTCCTTTCATAAAAGAAGTTCTATGTTTTATAAACATTTGCCATACATAGAGTGGACACGATTATAAGAACTCTAATTAAAATGTTAATGTTAAAACTCATAATTCGATTAATTTTAAGTCTAGCGCTTAATTTGTGATGGACGTCGGCGAGACTTCAGATCTCCTGCCCCCCTAGACAAAACGCACTTTTTGATCGAATCGAAAATCGAATCCGTCAAAACTCCATACAAAAAAAGGGGCTTTTCGACCACTTTTTGACTGGTTTGCGATTATAATTTACACTTTGTCTAGACCCACTGTAGTTTGTATGCTCTGACACGTCATAATATGTCAACCCCTCCCGTGATTACATATTAGATAGGTACTGATTTTCAAAGTTTACTCATTATAATATTATCCATGATAAAAATCTAAAGTTACAAGATTTAATGCCTTATTGTCGTCTGTAATCTACGTTGCTTTGGAGGGTAATCTTTAGCTTCGAACTTCTTTCTGATCTAAGTCCACTGGGATAGTTAAACTTCACTGGTTGTACAGGAGTTGCAGCGGTGGGAATATTCCCAATTCCTGAGAATCTTCAACCATGAGGCTACTGTGTATTATTCCACGAAAATACGTTGAACTTCTTTCATGAGAAGGACTTAAATCCAGTCTTAACTTACGGCCATAACATAGTTATCTTTTAAAGTTTAAGTACCGATTTGAGGTTGCCTTTAAGCCACGATTTTAACGAGACAAAGGCTCGAAGCACTGGAATAGTTTTTAGCCTATCTTATCATAGTAGAAAGTAATTGTTGAACACTTTAATCGCCTACGGGACTGACCAGACGTTAACCGTCTTCGTAATCTACCAACAATATCCTAAACTACTTATAATACAGGTTAATACATTAGGCGTAAAGATATTGGCTGTATGCCAAGCCTCTATATTCGAGTTGCGTTCTACAACCATCTTCCGAGGTTATAATTTAGGCACTTCTAAAGCGATTGTGTTGTATTCCGCGTGAGCTGTGTTTGGTACGTTGATGTTGGATCTGTTGTGACGCATATGCGACTTCACGAGATCCGAATTGACGAGCGCAGCCATCAAACTCAGTTCCCCAGCTAGCACAGTCGCGCAAATAAGCGATGCGAGTCTTGCGGAGTTTTCCGCAGGGCGTACACCTGCTCCTTTGACTCCGAGAATCTCCAAACACGCTCCTTGACCAGTCAAAACCGTTCCGCCACCAACCGTGCCCACTTCCAAAGACGGCATAGTGCAAGTCACATACAAATCCTCTCCATTTTCGCCGTAAACCTCCATACTGGTTGAGCAGTTGCTGCTTGTGACATTCTGAGCCGGATCTTGGCCTGTCGCTATGAATATCGCGGTCACCATATTCGCTGCATGAGCGTTATTGCCTCCAATGGACCCAGCTAATGCAGACCCAGAAAGATTTTTAATCTTGTTACATCTAGCAAGAGTTTTGGCGTCAGTTTTGAATATGTTCCTCAAACTTTCAGCGGTGATTACCGTCTCGCAGACAACCCTCTTCCCTCTGCCTTTGACCCAGTTGATCGCCGCAGCTTTCTTGTCAGAACAGTAATTTCCAGAGAGGCTTATAACTTCCATATCAGGAAAGTATTTTTTGAGGAGTTTGAGGGCATTTTCGGCGCCTTTAGAGACCATGTTCATGCCCATAGCGTCTCCTGTGGTTGCTCTGAAGCGTAAATAGAGAGTTGCACCGTCTACACCTATGTGGACCTCTTGCAGTCTGGCAAAACGTGAGGTAGAGTCGAAAGCTTCTTTGATAATCTCGTAGTTGTCTTTGTTATCCATCCATTGACGGCAGGCGTGAGCTCTCACAACGTTCGGAAGCCTAACAGCCGGTGCTCTGGTCATTCCCACGTCTTCAACTACACTAGTCACTCCTCTTTGACCGATTGCTTTCGCTCCTCTATTCGTCGACGCAACCAAAGCTCCTTCGGTCGTAGCCATTGGGATCATATACGGTTTCCCGTCTACTACTAAAGGTCCAGCGTATCCTACGGGGACTCCAATAAAACCAATGACATTTTCGCAGCACGCGTTCAAGACTTTACTATAATCGTAGTTTAGGTACGGCAGTTGTTTGATCGCGGTTTCGTTGTCAAATCTAGCAGCGATGACTCGGCGTCTCAAACGGACGCCTCGAAGCGGATCCCCTAACACAGCTTCTAACTTATGCAAAGGTATATGAGATTGTTCCACGAGCATTACCACTTCTTCGTCACTCAAAGAGGTACATGCTCCCTCAGATCTGTATATTTCTAAACACTCGGCCATCGGCCGCTTTTTAGAGTTCAGTTTCGATGCAGAGGAGCTTGGGGATAATGTGGGCCACAGATCTTCTTCAACAGAAGTAGTTTCTTCTGTTTGGGTGGACACTTCCGAGCTGGTGTCGTCTCCTAAAGAGAACATAGGCTTTCTAGCATTCAAAGCGTCTTCCTTCTCATTCTGTATCACTTCTTTCACTGTCATATCGTTCATATCGATCACCCAGTTCCTCTGTTCTTCGAAGAATATGAATTTTATAATTAAAGCGCATAACAGAGTCGCTATGACGATATAGTCGGCGCTGACTGAGAACCATTTGACGTAAGAATGGAAGAGAACATTGTCATGGGTTGATGGAGTCAGATTGTCGCTTGGGCCTTCCACTATGCCATTATCGACGCTCCATGGCCATCGGCTGGTCAAATGAACGCACAGCAAACCAGCTGCCATTATCATTTTCACTCTTTGCACCACTGGGTTCGGTTTCATATCGGCCTCCGAAAATGGGCTGTCACGAGTCATGTCTTTTCTCCCAGAAGCAAAATCTGACACCAGTGATAGACACGCAGGGTAGAAAGTCACAAACACTAGATAGTCCACTAACAAAGCTAGACACGCGAATGTACACATGTGCTCTAATCTAGGAACTCCTGATAACGCACCGACACCCACTAAAAGAACTGCTAGTAAGGTATCCAGAGTTGCTGTGGGTCCAAGAAGCGCTAAGGCTCTTCCCACCCTCTTTCCTTGGTCTTCACCGGCGCACCAGCCCGCTTTGGCCATTCTGGCGCCTCTAGCTACATCTGCGACTAGCAGAAATAGGAACGGGGCGTCTTTGATGCTGGCTAGCTCGCTCCAGAACAACCCCGCAAGCGCTGATGTAAAAATAAAGCTTGCAAACGTAGAGAACACTCCAGCAATGATCAAAAGGTATTTCGACGCGATTTTCTGGAGGTTGGAGACTTGGTAATACGCGTAGAGGAGGGCAGCGCAGCGGACGAAGGTCATGATGACGGCGTCTGCCGCTTGGTACTCCGCTTCGAGGCCAGGACAGGCGCGGGCCCAGCCAGCGCACCGTTCGGATCTGATCCCGGGGCCATGGCGTTCAACGCTGGCAGCGCAAGCCAACAAGGCGAGTGTGGCGACGATGACCTCCCACTGGTGTTTCGCGCAGAACTCGCCGTGAGCACCCCAGACTTTCATGTCTACTTGACAGCTGCTGAACAGCTTATATCTGTGGGCAAAGAGAAGGGTCTGTTAATGAGTGAGTCTCGACTAAAAAGCAAAATGGACGACAGGTTTCGGCGAGGACACGTTTGCATTAACTAACATTTTAAAATAGCACTTGGAAGCGCAAAATGACGATCGAAAAGCGGTAAGCGCTGTCACTGCTAAAAAATGAATGCAACACGTCGCTATTGAAGTTAGCAAACGTGTCCTCGCCGACAATACAGTGGGTCTAGACAAAGTGCAAATTATAATCGCAAACCAGTCGAAAAGTGGTCGAAAAGCCCCTTTTTTGTATGGAGTCTTGACGGATTCGATTTTCGATTCGATCAAAAAGTGCGTTTTGTCTAGGGGGGCTGTTGTCTTAGCTTAGCGATCGTCATTTTGCTTAAACTTCAACCACACCAACGCGTGCAGATCGCCATCAAAGCCCAATGACAGGTCGCGAGACCCATGACAGTTAACGCGACTTGTCATTTCCCTATGATCGCGCCGGCGATGGCGATCTGATTCTGCACGCCTTGGTGTGGTTTAAGCATAAATTATTCGAAGTGCGTAGATGTGTTGTCGCCGGCTGTCAGATTAAAAAGAAAGTTGTTGACAGCACGCACGCACTAATTTAAAGTAGGCAGGTAATGGTTGTCCACAAAGTAATATTGCTATTGTAATTTTAGACCTTGAAGAATGAACCTATAAATTACTGCATTGGATTGTAAAAAAGAGGCTTTTTTATGCAGGACAAGGCAGGTATTTGACCGCAATCGTACCTGATGATAAGTAAGATGCAGTCTAGGATGGTACATATCTGCCCTATAAGTGCCTATTCACTCTCGCCTTGAAAAGGCCCGGATTATAGTGTTCAGGAAATACAGCAGCAGGCAGCGAATTCCAGTCCCTAGCTGTTCGCATTATAAACGAGTCGTCGAAACGCTTAGTGCGAGCTGGTGGAATGTCGACAATGTAGGGATGGTACGCTAGCCGCATTATAGTGTTCAGGACAGACAAAGGTGACTGAGTTTTTTCCGCCACTTCTCAGCACCAGCCCATATGTTGTCCCGAAGTGGTGGTAGGGCAAGCTATATTTGGGACGTGTATAAGTGCCCAGGAAAGGGCCTATGTGCTGAATAAACTATTTCATTTCATTAAATGTTCTTCTATTCTTTAAAATCTTTTCAAAAATCAGTCATCTTCCTGTGTTCTCCGAATAGATCTACCTAGCGATAAGACCAGTTAAATAATGTCGTTTCAATTATTTTTCTTATTATGGGTCACGTTTGTTGTTCAGCAGTGGACGTCCTATGGCTGAAATGATGATGATGAAGTCACGTTTTGTGTAATGTGCAATAAAAAGTATTAACTACCCAACCAGTGAGCAGTAATAAGCACATGTAAGCACTTAGTGTACGGTGCATTTATTAAAATAAATAATTAAATATAGTTTATGAAAATAATTCCGGCAGTTAGAGGTAAGATAGCCAGTTCCGCCGTGGTTGAGGATTCCGGGTGCAGCTCGCTTCCACCTTCGGCCTGATCGTCACTTACCATCAGGTGAGATACAGGCCAAGAGCTTCCTCGTGGATAAAAAAAAATCAAATGACTTCAATTCATCTTATTGTAACTGACTGACTAAACATAAAACAATAATATTTTCTAGAGTATGAGTTCATTATAAATAAGTACTTTATACGTGCGACGTGCGTCATTATTATTGTACCTTTTAATTTATAGCAATTTAATTAAGAATAAACCATTAAAACTAGGAATAAGGTGACTTCATTCCCTGTAATAGCTTTTACACGTGGTTGAACTCGTGAAACGATAATTAAATAAATTAAAGGTTTACCTTTAATTAAGTACAATAATAGTAATTTTAAACCTTTTAAGTCATAACAATCGAATTTTTCATTGTTTTAGGGTTTAAGACAAGCGATCAAAATATAGTGGAAAGTTTATTCCCACTGCCTTTCAAAGGGTTAACCGACTGAAAACGAAACTACAGGACCGATTAAAATTAAAAAATTAAATTAATAAAATTCATTTATTTTTGCAAATAGGCTTTTAGAAAGCACTTTTACACGTTGATTTGAAAAATTCTTTCACCATTAGAATCCTATTTTTTTTCTAATGAACATAGACGATTCGAAGTTCATGAAGTCAGCTAGTTAATAGAAAAAAGTGAGTTCTAAAACGTCAAACTATATAAAAAAATAAAGTATAGAAACGGCTAGCAACTTGATACAGTTTACTGGACACATTTGCCCATTTAATCTATACTTGGACAACCTTGAGAGACTCGTTTGGACGATTTCACATGATTTTTCCAACCGGTTTTGGACATAGCCAAATATGTGTCTAGGTTGATGGCGGAGGTATGCCGTCTCTAAGCAGTAAAACTTGTAGAAAAAGACGAGAAAATGCCTATGCTAAAATATTATAAATGCAAAAGTAGGATGAACTCTGGATTAAAATGACATTTCCATACTAAATGACAATTTAAGCCAAAGTTCAACTAGAATTAAAGAAAGAAATAGGTATTTATTACGATGAACATCACTTAGAGAACAAAGAAAGTAGGTATACGGAAAAAAGACAGAAATAGCACATAAATATTACAAAAATAAAAAGTGAACTGAGCAGTGCCACCCTGTTGCAACAGCGATGCCCATCGCAATGGGACTCCACTCAGCATATGCCGTGGCCCACGGTGGGGAAGGCCACGATGTCAACTAGGGTGTAACTTTTATTAATAAGAGGGTGTCTGTTTAGAATTTGTAGAAAAAGACAAGAAAATAATTACCTACTTATGGCAAAAATAATAATGCCAAGCTTCAAATATAAATGCGAAATTGCACGACGAAAGTTTCACGCCTAAACATCAAAACCGATTTTGATGTTTGGTTTATAGATAGTTTATTACTGAGAGTCCCGGGAAAGGACATTTTTTATCCCAGTTTTTTAAAAAAGAGCGCGGGCAAATGCTAGTATTATTTTTTATTATTATGTTTATGCATAGATTTTTAGCAAAAAACAGAATTTTTGGCAACGAGAAAAAAATCGTTCCGTATGCCGTATGTCATAACCTTTATTTTGTCAATACAGGTACATAGTCTAAAGTGTCTTTACGTAAACTACCTACGTCGTAACTTTTCAACCACCTTTTCTTACGAAAAAAACTATTTAAGTAGTTTTAGATTTTTTATGACTAATTTAGTGCTATACATGATAACTGAAAAAAACTGAACTTAATGGTTGATATAAATGTCAGATCAAATCATTTCATTTCTAATCTCTACAAAAGAAATTAATAGGACTATTAGTAATTTGGGCAATACAAATTTCTAATAAATAAACTTTTTTTATATTAAAAAAAAAACGGTTTTTCATTTTTGTTCTCTTCGTATTATAACAAATTATGTAAAGAATCTAAGATCTAGGTAGACATTCGCTAGTGACTTATTACATCCTGTCGAAATAGGCGTTCGTTCGTTCGTTCGTTTCAGCCAAATGACGTCCACTGCTGGACAAAGGCCTCCTCCAAGGCTTTCCACAATGCACGGTCCTGCGCTGCCCGCATCCAGGCTCTTCCCGCGACCTTTACGAGATCGTCGGTCCACCTAGTAGGAGGCCTGCCCACGCTACGTCTTCCAGCCCGTGGTCGCCACTCGAGAACTTTTCTGCCCCAACGGCCATCGTCTCTACGAGCTATGTGCCCCGCCCACTGCCACTTGGTTTTAGCAATTCTGCGAGCTATGTCGGTCACTTTGGTTCTCCTGCGGATCTCCTCATTTCTGATTCGATCACGCAGGGAAACTCCAAGCATGGCCCGCTCCATCGCCCTTTGGGTGACCTTGAGCCTTCTTATGAGGCCCATAGTAAGCGTCCACGTTTCGGATCCATAAATCAACACTGGCAGCACACACTGCTCGAAGACTTTTGTCTTGAGACACTGCGGTATTTCGGACGTGAGTATATTGCGTAGCTTCCCGAAATAGGCGTACAAATGGACAAATGGACGGTTCAAGGTCACGCCAAAACGAGTTCTTCGTTTATTTTGGGCCACCAACTGCTTTTTAACCAACTTAACACTAACAGTCAAAATATAACATTAAATGCTGTTGAAACATTGTTAAACAAATAAAATAAAAATAAAATAAATAATCAAATTTATTGTTTTTGGGTCCTATGACAAGCGAATAAGGTTAAAAATATGATGGGGAAATATATTCCCATTGTCTTTTAAAGGGTTAAAAGAAGTAGATTTTTACCTAACTTGAAAATTAATGAAATTAAGCTTTTAAAAAGCGCTTTTACACGTCCACAGCTTCGGGAAAATGAATGGGCCAGTGCTAAGAAGCAGCGCAAGAAAGTCAGTATTATATCCGAAGTCAGGTCAATTAAACAACGCTTTAAAAAATACTTTATTTGATAAGATACAATCAAGTTGGTCCCATTTAAATTTTATCAAAATCGGCCAGTAGTTTAGTTTTTAAATCAAAACAATTGATAACTATGTCATCCAGATAAGCGAAATTGCGGATATTACTTTTCTGTGACTTTTTAGTGGCGTTTATGATCATAAGTGCCTTTTTCTTGTGTTGCGGATTTCTGGATAGACTAGAGGGCATAGTGAGAGTTTAAATCAAACGCAATCACTAGTGAGCGCGTAAAAAATGACATTAGATGTATGACGGATTGTACAGCGCCCCTAGCGGAAACGTTCAAGAACTAAGATTTTCATACATTTTTTTAACGCACTCACTAAGTAGTGAGGACGTTTGACTAAGCCCACAGATCCGCATGCGTGTAAAATTAATCTACTAACACAATACGAAATGATTTCGTATTGTGTGCCGGTAGCCAATCCACGTACCGCGTGGAATGTGCATGTAGCTCGCGAAATAGGAAAAATATGTATGAAATAATTAAATGCGGAGCCCGCATGCGGATTAAAGGACGTAGCACACTTATCAGTTCGGAAAGCATACTGCAACGCACACTTATCCGCAC